CTTTTAGGTACTTGAAAACAGGTAAAAAAAATACAAAAGGTCATTAGAAAACAGCTGCAATTTATGAAAAGTAACAACACACAAGCTAAACGTTATTAGAAGCTAAAGCTAGAAAAAAACTAGAACAAAAAGAGCAATAAAAAACTAAAAGTAGCAACATGTTTGCTAAAAGCTAAAGCAAAAAAAAGTCCCAACAAAAGGCCAGTTAAAGTCAAAAGTAGCAAAATGTTAACTAAAAGCTAAAATAATGAAACTAGCAGAACAGTAGCTAAAATTAAATTGTAGCTTAAAAAGACCAAATGTTTGCTGAAGCAGATTTAAAACATGATGTTTTAAAGAAACTGAGGAGCTTTACATGTTTTATAATAAAAACATATTTAGATAAAAGCTTTAGTTTGGAGTGTGCTGCCCTCTTGTGGTCACATTCAGCAGCTGCACCCAAAACAACAAAGTTCGGTTTAAATCTGAAAAACTACAATAAATGAGGACTTTTAATGACGTCACTTCCAATGTTTAGACTGTGAACAGCTGATATGAGTTAAAAACACAAACTGATCCAGAAGACCAACATGTGGGTCAGAGGAGGTCCAGCTCCCATCAGACGGATCTGATTCTGCTCCTCACCATGTCACTCTGCTGTGAGTTCATGCTCTGAGGCTTTTCTTCAACAATTTCATACATTTCTGCTGAAAACAACAAAAAACCTCTGACTTCCTGTTTGTCTGATTTGATTGACAGGTGGGACAGCAGCTGCCAGGTACACCTGGACAGGTGAGTGGACATCACCTTGAGTTCAATGATTCTCCAGCGCACTGAGACAGAAATGAAAAGTGAATCTTGTTTGTGTTCAGACGATCCTCAGYTCCTCCTGAGCAGCGAGAACATCACATGAAGAACCTCTGACCATCAGGGGTGAGACTTAAAGTACCTATGACATCAAATTTTTGTGATAAATGTGATTGTACTTTTGGAAAGGTAACATTGATGACATGTTGTAAAAGCAATTTCACACCAATGAGATGAACGGTTGTTGAGATATTTGCCTGTGAAGAAACAGGAAGTGATGTCAAAGGGGAATGTCTGCATGTAAACAGAGCTCCGCTACAACGGCTAACAACACAGACAGCAGGGAAACTTCTGATGTTTCTTTAAATTATTTTAGTCCCTGTAAAAGAGAGGGAGGAAGAAAAGTCAGAGTTCAAATAATAATCGTTTTAATAAACAAAGACCAGAGAGTTTTCTTTTCTGAAGAGTTCCCCTTTGATGTCACTTCCTGTCTCATCTAAAATGAAACAGGAAGTGACATCAAAACTTTGATGTCACTTCCTGTTTCATTTTAGATGAGACAAACTCAAAAGGAAAATAGGCCAGTTATGTGACAAAATGGGTAAAATCATGTGTTTTATGCTAATTTTTCTAAATATGAAGACACTTTCTTTGATCTTTTGTATTTGAAGGATAGGCATRTCACAGAAACCACCTTAACGTTCCTGTGACATGTCTATACTTAAATTACAAAAAGTCAAAGAAAACATCTTTACACTTAAGAAACTTATAGTACATGATTTTTACACATTTTGTCACATAAATGGCATATTTTCTTTTGAATTTGTCTCAGCCAAAGTGAAACAGGAAGTGACATCAAAGGGGAAGTTATTAAGAAAATAAACTCACTGGTCTCTGTTTAACTATTTTTTCTCTTCTTTTTTTTTTTTTTTTTT